ACACACACACACACACACACACACAAACTCAAACATATACACACATACGCACACATACGCACACACACATACACACACACATACATACACACACGCACACAGAAACACTCACACATACAAGCACAAACACACACTCACACAAACACACGCACACACAAACAAACACAAGTACACGAGCGCGCTATACAGGCACAAACACATTATATATAATTCAATATATAATTATATACATATAATATTTATTATATACATATATATGTATATACATGTATGCTTATATATATATATATATATATATAGAGAGAGAGAGAGAGAGAGAGAGAGAGAGAGAGAGAGAGAGAGAGAGAGAGAGAGAAAGAGAGACAAAGAGAGAGATAGAGAGCGAGAGAGAGAGAGAGAGAGAGAGAGAGAGAGAGAGAGAGAGAGAGGGAGAGAGAGGGAGAGAGAGATTGTACATCAGTGGTTTGCGGTGCCGCTTCTCACTATTCAGTATAAAATAATATAAAAGACTTCCAACACCACCAGCGTTAACGTGGCTGTAGAAACAGGTGGCCAAAAGGAAGCGGCGGAATCAAATTGCAGCAGGAAATGTCAACTACATTTTCACCGCGGGTGACTAGGTGCATTTAGACATCGATAGCCCTGGTCTGGCCTAGAGCAGTGAGTAGATCTATGTAATATGGTCAGAACGGTTGTTTTTTCTGACATACACCTACACATACATACACGCGCACACTCATACTTGCACGTACGCACAATACGCATACATACAATGTTCACAAACACAAACACACACACAAACATACACATAGAAACATTAAAACAATGCACACACATACATAAACACACACACACATACACGCGCGCGCGATACACGCGCCGCGCGTGCACGCACACACACACACACACACACACACACACACACACACACACACACACACACACACACACAGTCACTTCCTAGATCCTATGCTCGGCGAAAGAACTCTTATAAAAAAAAGTGGGAAAATTAATAATATTTTTTCCAACTTGTGACTCATTTTTTCAACCATAGTCCATACCTACTCTATATTCATCTAACCATGTCTTAGATACGGGCAGTAATCGCCCCGTGTGTATCTTTCTGATCCTTTTTTTAAAGTGCACTTAGTTGGGGGTTTTTACGCCCCTATCGACACAATTTAGACCACTTATTAGGAAGGCAAGCTTGCGATTCTGCCTGTGGATCAACCTATGTAGAGAAAAGTGGGAAGACATGGAATAACATCAAGAGGCTAGCCCAGGATAGAGAAAAGTGAAGGGTGTTTGTCCGTGGCCTGTACCCTGGTGCAGGGTGAGAAAGGCAATGATGATGATGATGACCAACCTGGGCTGAGAGGGATACAATAGTTTTACGAGAAGAAAGACCGAGATACATAATTAGGCTTTGTACTCGATTAAAAATGATCCCCTTTTGGGAATAGAGCTCGGGTCTCCTGCGTGCGACTTCGAAGCGCTAACCGCTACACTACAGACGAATGTAGTTTTGTGTTAGATCTAGATCTATGTTCAATAAAAAAAAAAAAATAACAAAACAACTTAAAAGAAAAAAACAACTAGATCTATGTACGAGAATATCGGCTAGAAGATAAAACACAAAGTAGGTGATTTAATAGGTGTTGTTCACTTCCTTAGTTGGAGAATTAAAACAACAGGCTTTGGGCAAACTTTGTTTCTTCATCTTTTGATTCGTGCACTCTCACCGAGTCACAGATTTTATGTTAGCGTTAAACGTTGAGATGCTCGACATGCGTTTTTGTAGGAAAACAAGATAGAGATTACTGTTGAACAGGAATATACGCTTAGAAAATGCTCCTTATTATTATTTTTATTATTATTATTATTATTATTGTCATTATTATTACTATCATTGTTATGATGATGATGATGATGATGATGATGATGATGATGATGATGATGATGATGATGATGATTATCACTATTATTATTATTATTATCATTATTATTATAATTAGTATTATTAATATTGATATTATTATTATTAATATTATTATATGTATTATTATTTGTATTATTGTTGTTGTTGTTGTTGTTGTTCTTTTTCTTTATATTTGTACACATTTTCACTCCTGAACTTCTGTAAAAATGTACCGTTTTTAATCGAACCGTAATCATACGTTGTAAAGTCCCTACCGCAACTCATGCTTGTTTCAGTGATGTTCACCAAAGCAGGGATTCAAACTGATTGTCCATCACCAGTTACTACACCCTCCCCTTCTCCCC